GTGTCTAGTTCTCATAGGGGCTATCTGATCTAACACAGTGAGGCAGGAAGATTGAAAAAAGTGCAACAAGTAATCAGTGCTGGAAAATACCAGCAAAGTGGAAACAAGATCAGTGAACAAAGTACTGAATTCTGTTGCAGTAGATGGAGTAAAAGATCGGGCTCTGCAAGCAGGCGTTAAATCAATCAAAGAGGCACTGGATCTATGAAGGCGAAACAAAACCGTAAAATGATCTGAAATATGGACAGCTTCAACAAACAGGTCAGTGATCTTCAAGCCATGAGTGAGAACCAAGTCCAAGATGTGAGAGCGTTCATGTGTTGGCATATTAACCAATTGAGCCAGGTCAAAAGAGTCAATAACATTTAAAAATTCTTCCAGAAGAGGCTTCTCAGGGCAGCAAACATGAATATTAAAATCACCTAAGATAAGAACACGGTCATAATTTGAACAAATGTCAGATAAAATATCAGAAAACTGAGTTATAAAGTCTTTGCTGTATTTGGGAGGATGGTACAGCAACGAACAGAGAACGGGAGGTGAAGAACACAGTTCAAAGGCAGTTCACTCAAAACTGGTAAGACCAGCAGGGAAGGTGATGGGTTTACAAGCAATATTCCGTTTGAAGACGGTCAAAAGACCCCCACCACGACCAGTTGTTCTTGGAGTATTAAAATATGCTCAGTCAACAGGTAAAATTTCAGTAATAGTAGCTAAATCATCAGGAGAAATCCAAGATTCTGTTATGAGAAGGAAGTCCAAGTTATTGTCAAAAAAATAATCCTTAATAATGAACGATTTAATGCTAAGAGAGCAAGTGTTCATATGAGCAAACCTGTACGGCGGTATTGGATCCAACCTGGGTGTGTGAGAAGAGGAGATGTGCTTCAGATCCCAAAGGTCTGAGTAATCCACGCCACGGTGGCACCAGCAGGGTGAGACAAGAGCCGCCGGTCCACAGAATCCAGGTAACACCTCACAGAGCGGCATCGAGCCTCAATCAAGACTGCATGAACCCCGAGGAGTGTGCTAGCACAGCTCGCACACGGACCAGGCAGCAGCCACTCCTACCACGCCGATGGCGCCGTTTTCGGAACCACAATGGGCCAGGAACTCTCCACAGATAGGCTGGAATAGTGGAGCGCAGCGTTTGCAAGGTCTCGTGATGGTAGTGGTGGTGATCCTGGACAGGGAGCCAAGGCGAACAAAGATCCAGGAGGTTAGCACGGGCATAAGTCAGAATAGCAGTCCCAACATTAACCACATAACATAGAAACAGCGAGAAAATAAAACAGATCAGCAGATGGCTTGCCGAACACGCTGGGGCCATCTTGCTTGAACAGGTGTACCTGGGACTCCAGACCCGGCGGGGCAGAGGCTTCGCTGGTCTGAGAGCACTATCAAACTCCCAAGTTCCAATTCTCGCGCTGTTCTGGGTGGCTGCATTTTGGAGTAGCTTTGTTAACTGCATGTAAGTTTTGCCTTTTTTTGGACATGTTTTCTTCTAGCGTCTTAAGAAAAACTATTT